TAAGGTTCCCCGGAAAAAATATGATAAAACTCCCTATGAGTTGTGGAAAGGCAGATGGCCTTCCTATCAATATTTAAAAGTGTGGGGGTGTCTGGCAAAGGTGCTTGTACCAACACCTAAGAAAATAAAAATAGGTCCAAAAACGGTGGATTGTATTTTTATTGGATATGCACAAAATAGTAATGCTTATCGGTTTTAGTGTACGATTCGAATAATCCGGATGTACATAAAAACACAATTATTGAATCAAGGAATGCTTCATTCTTTGAAGATGTATTTCCATGCAAGTCCAACGAAGGACCAAGCACGTCGAAACGAACATTTGACGTCGCTATGGAAAATACTAGCGAGGGCTCCGGAGAAGAACTCGAACCCAGACGTAGCAAACGTGCTAGAATTGAAAAATCCTTCGGACCGGATTTTCTCACCTACCTGGTAGAAGTTGACTCGGATATTCTAACATGTATGGTAGAAAATGAACCGGATTTTCTAACATATTTGGTAGAAAACGAACCACGGACTTATACGGAAGCTGTGACGTCTACCGAAGGTCCTATGTGGAAAGAAGCCATCAAAAGTGAGGTGGATTCTATCCTTAAAAATCACACATGGGAATTGGTTGATCTTCCTCCGGGAAATAAACCTTTCGGGTCCATGTGGATTTTTAAACGGAAAATGAAACCTGACGGTTCCATCGATAAGTACAAGGCCAGACTTGTAATCAAAGGATACAAGCAACGTGAGGACCATGATTACTTTGACACGTATTCTCCTGTGACGAGAATAAATTCCATTAGGATGATACTAGCAATTGCCGCACTACGGAAATTGGAAGTTCATCAAATGGATGTAAAAACCGCTTTTCTAAATGGCGATATAGACGAAGAAATCTATATGGAACAGCCCGAGGGCTTTCGTGTTCCAGGCCACGAAAGGAAAGTGTGTAAATTAATTAAATCATTGTATGGATTGAAACAAGCCCCTAAACAGTGGCACAAAAAGTTCGATCATGCAATGTTAATTAATGGTTTTAAAATAAACGAAAGTGAGAAATGCGTGTATGTGAAGAGCACGGTAGACGGCTATGTCATTTTATGTTTATACGTGGATGATATACTCATCGTGGGTAGCAATAATCTAATGATTAATTCTACCAAAAACATGTTAAATTCTAATTTTGACATGAAGGATATGGGGCTGGCCGGTTTAATCATTGGGATTAAAATAATTAGAGGACCAGACGGTCTTACGCTAAGCCAATCCCATTACGTTGATAAAATCCTTACGAAATTTAATAAGGATGATTATCAAGAGGCAAGGACTCCATTAGATAAAAACGTACACCTTACCAAAAATCATGGAGAGTGTATTTCTCAAGTAGAATATGCTAGGATTATTGGAAGCTTGATGTATCTAATGAGTTGTACCAGGCCTGATATTGCCTTTGTGGTTAGTAAGCTAAGTAGATATAATAGCAACCCCGGTGATGAACACTGGAAGGCAATAGTAAGGGTTTTGAGGTATTTACGTAAAATCCAAAACCTTGGACTGCACTATGGAAGATATTCAGCTGTACTTGAAGGGTATAGCGACGCTAGTTGGATATCCGACATAAAGGACTCTAAGTCCACAAGTGGATATGTTTTCACTTTGGGAGGTGCATCCGTGTCATGGAAATCCTCAAAACAAACGTTAATAGCTAGATCTACGATGGAGTCTGAGCTAATAGCCTTGGATAAGTGCACTGAAGAGGCTGATTGGCTACGCCATTTTCTCGAGGATATTCCAAGTTGGGAAAAGCATGTCCCTCCAATATGCATACATTGCGATTGTCAAGCGGCAATTGGAAGGGTACAGAGCAATATATAATGGTAAGTCTAGACACGTTCACCGTAGACATAACACCATTAAGCAACTCCTCACAACGGGTGTTATCACTGTTGACTACGTGAAGTCAAAGGATAACATAGCGGATCCGCTAACCAAGGCATTGGATAGAGAATTGTTGGAGAAGTTGTCACGAGGAATGAGACTAAAGCCCGTGAATTGAAAAGTTCTATAGTGGATACCCAACCTAGTTGGTCCTAGATTCAAATGAGACAACTAAACTATAGAGCGAAGGATGGTCACTGTGGGGGGTCTCGGACTCCTACCCATTCCTCGTTAAAACAGTGACTCCCGCACGAGGTTAGAAAAAACGTTTGCTTTAATGATTCTAAAATGTTGATCTACTCGATAACATTGGAAGAGTATGCAGGATACTCGTGAAAGAATCACCTATGTGAGAGAGAAGAGGGCCGCTTCAAAGGAGAACAGTAAAGGCTCAGTTCTTTAGAAACTCTTGCAGAACCAGGACGGTGACCCATGGCCAAAACGGGCACACCCATGAGAACGGAACAAAGTTGGAAGGTTCTTGTGTAAAGATAAGTCAATGTTTACACGACGGCAGTATAGTTCAAGGACATCGAGTCTACTAGACAACCTTTACAAAGGATAAAACCTACCTCTCTGTAAACAAGGATCATCCGGTGAACACAACGTGTCCTCCTATCTTTGTGTCTGTTTAAGTCTCGCAAATCAATTTTCATTCATGTGGGGAATTGTTGGGAAAATGTGTTAAAAATGCATTAAATGGTCATTTTGGGGCAATTATTTGAGTGGGGTCCACTTCCGATTTGGGTCGGGTTAAAGTGGTTTCGGATTTTCCTTGTTAAGGGCTACAATTTGATATATGGTACGCTCAAAATGGATAACGGGTGAATGAGAAATTGATTCTCGAAGTTCACTCGTTGAAATGGAAAAACTGAGAAAATGATGGGTTTCTAGTGTGTTTTATCCCACACCGAAAAACTCAAGGGATTTTCACCCCCTTATAAAGGGAAGCCTCTTTCAAGGAGTTAAGATTCCTAAAGGTAAAGGCTCTCTCTTACGCGCGGGGGGGGGGGGGGGGGGGGTGCCGATCAAATCCCGAAACGGAGAAGAAAAACCGCGACTCGTGTGCGCGGGGGACCTGCGGACATGAATGTCGTCCGAAAACCTATCATTTAAAGATACGGTCTAATTTTTGTTTCTTCCCGTAAGGTTTTATTTTTCCCAGGACCAGAGTTACTCGAACTCTGGTGGCTTCGTACCAGAGTTGCTCGAACTCTGGTGGCTTCGTACCAGAGACGCTCCAACTCTGGTGGCTTCGTACCAGAGACGCTCCAACTCTGGTAGCTTCGCATCAGAGTTGCTCCAACTCTGGTGGAGGTATTCTGGTAGCATCAGAGTTGCTCCAACTCTGATAGGGGTATTCTGATCGCGCACCAGAACTGCTCCAAGCCGTTACAGCCATTAAATGCCCAACGTTCTTGTCTTTTAATGCAACGTTAAATGGATAGTTTACGGATGATTCAATGCCCAACGGACTGGTCATTGATGTCCAACGTTCAGGTCCATTAACACCCCATTTAACACACAACAAATTCTCCTATAAAAGGCTGGCAGGTTCTTTGCAACAAACACACGGTTTGATAACACACAATACATTCCTCACGTTTTCTTGAGCTAAAAACACTTCCAGCTACCCCGAAATTTCATAAGTGTTCATACTGTGTTCCAGTTCGCCGGAACTTATGTGTGTGTGCTCAAACGTTAGTTCGTTAGCCACCGTATCCTGGGAAACGGTCGTTGCAACGCTCCTAGCACCGTGGGAGGCGACGAATACGTTTTAAGGACATCGTGCGTTGCATGAGCTCTAGCTAAAATCTGCTCCATCTTATTTTCTGTTTTCTTTTAGCTATTTTATTTATTGATTAATTTTATTTAATTAATATTTCTTCGTTTTTTCGAAACACACCCAACAATAAGCTTATGGAGTGTGTGATTCTTTCTGTATGCTTCCATGAGATACGTAGTGTCAAAAGGTTTAAATCAACTGTTTGATGCCTATATTAGAACTATAGGGGAAAAGGGTCAAATAGGCAAATCACTTCTTATATATGAGACTCTTTCCGGCCGTCGCCATTTGGGGCGGTTCCCGCGGTTCCCAGTGGAATCTTTTCATCAACATTTTTTGAGCATCTTCTTAACTAAGTATAGTATACTCATAGCAAATTTCAGCTAAATATTCAATAGGGAAGGCAATCAAATGAATTTTTGAAGATAACTGCGCAGTTAAATAACGCAGTACATTTCAGAAAATCATTTGACTGTCTTCCCAGTTGAATTTTTATCTGAACTTTGGTATGCGTAAACTAGCCTTAATGAGGAAGATGCTCAAAAAAAATTGTCAAAAATTTCCACCGGGAAACGCCCCAAATGGAGAAGGCCGAGCAGAGCCTCCTATATAAGGGGTGATTTGCGCTTTTTAAGTTAGTTCGAGGGCCTACTTGACCTTTTTCCCAACTATAGGGTGATCTTAAGAGTCAAATAGTATCATGAGTAATGATTCTATCCCTAAAAGCTAAAAGAGTTTAGTTATTTTTTTATGATAATCTAGGTGTCAGGACTTACGCTATCATAATCTTGAATTCTATGAACTACCCTTCAAAGCCTCTAGACAGGTAAATTCGGATCTTATCACAGTCAGCCTTGCAGGTACTAGCTCTGAATGACAAATTCAGCATGGCTTATATCACGCAGCACTTCTAGGCTTCTCATTACCCGCTACCTTCATTATCATCATAGTAACCCGCTACCTTCATTATCATCAGTAACACGCTACTTCATTATCATCATCATTTGCCTTCTTAGTCGTTGATTTACTTCGTGAAGGTATATAGAATCATGGGAAGGGATACCTCTTTCATCATCTTCCTGGGTGAGAATTGAACTCAGGATCTCTCACTAAAGTTATTTAATTAAGATCTTATATGTTGATTTATTATTTCATATTTAGTCGATGTAAGATAAACTCCGACATGCTCACTCGACCCAAGGCTTGATATCCAGTCCTAAATATTAATTGATGTGATAGCTAGGAGATCCAATCATGCAATATAAATTTTTTAACACATACAAGTAATATGTATATATATACACATACTGTATAGATCTTAGTTTCTTCAAGAGGGAAATCTACAAAAGCAAATCGAGTGATGGAGGTCATTTCCTTGCACAAAATATAAATAAAAATACCATAGAAAAATAGTGCCAAGACTGGAATAGGATCTTAAAGAAACTTCGATTGGACAGAACTTATGGCCCAATTTTATTTTATGCTAGTTACCCTTGGGCAAAATGCTTATTGGGATTTAACCAATACTTTAGGGTCCATGCAGGGCAAAATGGTCAGTAAATAATCATGAACGGTTAGAGAGAGCTCTGATATTTCCCGAGTAAACTTTCCAATTGGAGTGTGTATAGTCAATGGGCTTTTGACCAAACGGGTGATCCTCCACATAAGTTCTCACATCTTCAACTTCTGCTAGCCCTTTTAAATATTCTCGAAGATCACCTCCCGGACCTGAAATAATATAAGTAATGACTACACAATATTGATTAATTATGAAAGTATATATAACTGGATTTGGAATACACTTACCTAATGATCGATCATTTATCATTGTTGATTCATTGTAGGAATGAGGAAAGATCGCGGTGTGAACCTACGAAACAATATACACAAAGATAAAGTATTTTGGTTGAGCTTGGATGCACTATTGACCATGTTTTTTTTATTTAGATTGATTTTAATATAATTTGGATCAAACCAAATTATATTAAACCATAAACCAATCAGTCCAGATTAGTTCAGACCAAACCAGATCAGATTAGACTGCGATAGTGGTAAACTAGACATAGAGCAAGCATCTATCAGACCAGGTTTGATTTAAACAGACCCGATCGAACAAAACTAAATCTAATCTGACCAGATCAGTAATCCACTCTCCACTTAAAACAAACCTAATTGTATAACTAGTTACAATATGATATTGTTTTTTTCGAGAAAGTGTAAATCGTGTAAATCATTCTATCTAACGCATCATAAACTTTACAAGTAATTGGCTAATTAATTACTGAGCTACCTGGTGGAGCTTTAATTAATCTGGGATGGAATTGAAATGCTAGTTTTAGATCAAAACATTTTAAATTCAAATTAAATGTACCATCAAGGACATGTGAAGTCAATTTTTTATTTTTCGACCACAAACGTCTAGATCTTATAACGGTAAAAGTGATCATATCATGAATTCTTTGTTTGTAGGTTATGGATTATTGTAATTTTTGTAATTTCTTATCAGTTATACACTTATACTAGGTATTTCTGTAACTTCTATAATATATAGTCATTTCATGATTACTAAAACAAGTTATATTTTGAATTGAACCTCATGAGCAACTAGATAATAATATTTCCATCCCACTAACCTTGGACGTGAGAAGGTGGTGTGGTTATTCAGAAAAATATATGTATATGTTTGATATTCATCGAATCGATAAAGTAAGAATAATTTTAAACCACACAAATTTTATCAAATTTGGTATGAGACAATTTTAGTTGGATGAACCAAAAATGAATGACGAAACAATCTTAGCAAGATGTGGTATGAAAGAGCTTAATTAAGCTCCGCAACAATTAGATAATATATAAAACCTTAACCTACCCGGGCCATCTTAATAATAACTACATATATGCACTTCCACTAATTAATTGTAAGAACATCTTAAAGGTATGGATAAAATGTTAAACTAGAATTAAGTTTAATAGAATTCCTTGTATTCAATAATTGATGTACTTACTGGATTAAGCACAGCCTTGTATGGAGAATCATCCACTAACAACGTGTTTGATTCATTGTAGTAACCTCCCACAAAAGGTTGGTTGGGACACTCATTCTCCCAAATTTTCTTCAACTCCTTACAGACTAAGGGTATGTACCTGTTCTCGGGAGTCATAAATCCTGTTCGGGAACAGTAGGATCTATCCTACAAGTGTCATTACCAAAAACATATTTAATACCTCACAAAAAACATACTTAATAAGAAGAGACAAATCAATCCAAACGGAAGTGCTTTCATGTGTTCATGTGATATTTCCTCCGTACCAAAATGATTTACAAAGTTAACTTTTCTTGATTAATATAGTTTCACACTAATTTGAATTTTGTGACTTTATTGAACTTTCAATGCATTTTCCGAATATGTAAATTTGGATTACTAAAATTGATTTAATTTTTCTCAGAGATGCAATCTCCGCTTTCTGGTAAGAAATATAATGGTGTTTGGGACAAAGGTGTCCATAATTTATTTTCACCCTTTAGTTTGCTTGTGAAGTGAATCCCTTGGAGTTGTACCGTATTAACTGAAGCCAACCATTTGAATACCAACAAATATATACTCCTCCGAGTGATTTAATTATTCGTAATGATTATTTAATTTAAATATATCGTTAATTAATCTTAAACTTCGAAAACTTCAATTCGATTCGAGACAGATAAATACATATGATTATTGAATTTTAAAAGGATAAGGGAAGAAATTTCAACTTACCCAAACAAACAACAACTTTTTCTTCATATCCCCCAATAAATAATCAACAACTTCATCAAGATAATTTGCCCTGCACATTTTTGGGAGACATAGATGAGATTCAGTATTAGACATTCCCATTTGTGAGAGAACATCCAAATTCGCATTTAAGCTCATTTAAAGTGATCGATCGATCTAATGATGTTTTTAATTGGATAGAAATGTTTTGGTATAGTCTGATCTAGTCTGGTGTGGTCTATTTAAGTTTGACCTCATATGGGCTGAACTGCTCTAGTCAAATTTTATATCAAACGTTTAATTTTTAATTTCACACTCTAAATTGTGTAATAATTAAAATAAGTAATGTTAAAGTTATTGTTCTGATTGAATTTGTTGGAGTTATTGTATAGAGCCATTTTAACTATTTTCATATAATTTTTTCTTAATTATATTAATTAGATATGATTTTAATATAATTTTTCATAATTTAGAAGATTTAGTCAACTTAATCACTTTAGCCGAAATTTCATCAATTTATCAATTTTTGCAAATTCGGCCAATTTAGCCCATATTAAATGAGCTTTTAATTGTCAGTATACACATCTTTCACTTTAGATTTGAAGACTTGGGAAGGAAGGGTAAAAACCCTAGCCGTCTCACCTCTTCTCTCTTCTCTTCAAATTTCTTTCTACTCCTAAATAGGAAAAAGATCTCTTTTGTTAGTATTTTTAGATTATTTTATGTGGTTTCTTCCTAGGCATGTCTAGAGTTTGTGTATTCCTCGTCGGTGGAACCAATCAGGTGTTGAAATTTTATTGTTGGGTGTTGGAATGCAATGCTAGACCTGCTTGATATTTTAGGGAGGTTAACTTCAGGCATTGGCTATTCCGCGGCAATTATTCGCCCTCTTCGTGAACCACCGCCAAGCTATGAGAGAAAGATACCGCTCGATTGGATCTTCTCTTCGGTGACTGGTCGAACCGATGATATTGACAATTTCTATTCAATAGCTAGTTGTTCAAACTGAGGATTCTAGTTGTTTCTTTCTGGTAGCCGAAAGAACCAACTTTTCTAATATTTCCTTGTCGGTGGATGGTGAAACCGGTTTATTTTGTTTATTTTCTATCACATTGTAGTTTTAGTATTATTTTTAATCTTGATTATTTCGGTTAGTAGGAGGTGCTTCTAGGTTGATAGAGCAATCTACATCTTAGCGGGTTTAGTGAATTGATATGTTCCTTTAGAACTTTTTAATTTTATGTCTCATCTCATTGTAGCCTTAGGCTATCCAAATTACTTTTGTATTGATCATTTTTATTATCAATAAATGATTGTTTTCTATTAGATTGTTCATCTTTGCATGCTAAATAATGTCTATGTGTGGACGTAAATTTTGGCAACTTAAAGCACGCTTAGTAACCCTTGTGTTCACTTTATTAGGTTTACCAATCATTTTTTATCAAACGTGTTTTTTTTGTTTGGCGTGTTGAATTGTGTTATATTAAAAATAAATATGGCTTGTGTTACTTTTATAGCTAAGTTAGTTGAAGTTACTATTGTGAACAATTTTAGCTATTTTTTCATATGATTTTTTTAATTTCATAAAAAAATTAGATATAATTTTTTTTTCCACAATTCAGCATATTCAACTAATTCGACCACTTCAACTGAAATTTCATCAATTTCAATTGAATCAGCCGATTCAGTCAATTTCAATGTTATCAAATGGGCTCTTAGTTTTCAAAGAAATTATCCTAAATAGGATTTAAAAAAGGTATAAATAGGACTAAACAATCTCTTTCTCTCCTTAAATCCTAAATAGGATTTAACACTGTGTATAAATATATAATTAATTCCACCAACCCTACTTAAACTAATTAGGGAATCCGACGGCCCGGTGACCAAGCTAATTGTCAATCCCTAGAAGGGTGTTTTGTCCATTCACAAGTTATGACATTCATTTAGGAGATTTTAAGCAATGAGTCATATGTTTATAGTGCAAGTGTGTTTTCCTCGTATTGTGACATTTCTCTCTCCTTTTCATAGACGTCCTTGAAAATTGGCTAGACAGTATTTTTTTTATCTATGAATAGAAAATTGAAATTTAAGCATAATTGCATAAAGTAGTTGATAAAAGAGAAATTTGTCCCATATATAACTAAAATCTTATATATTTCTCAATCATATCAATTAGTCATAACTTTGTTTCTAAAATGATATTATTTGACATGTATGCAACTATGCATATCATTCATCGCTTTTTTCTTATTTTGTTCTATATGTGCCTCTTCACAAATTTGGAAATTTTTATACATTTTTGTGTGGGAGTTTTCATGAATTCTAGTCCCACTTAAATATTATTTCCTAGATAAAATTCGGAGTCTGAATGTATGTTGAGGATCGATTCCGTCGGTCGGATTCCGGCTCAGGCAGTCCGGAGGTCGGTTTCAGATTGTCTCTCTTGTGCACACCTAGGCAAAGGGAGCAACAATCCCATTCTACGTCCTTCACTCTCTCCCACTCACAGTTTCACTAAGAAGATGAGTTCTCAAGCACTCTGCTCAAAAAAGGCTTCACAAAGGTCATTGATATATACAACTAGACAAAGAAGTTGTTGTCACTTGAAAGCAGTAGCACATGCAGATGGATGGAGGATGGTCCTCATAATATAGAGTGAAGATTTGGCTTATTAGCCCAAAGGGTTGGACGGACAGATATGCAAGGGACAACACAATCACAGACCTCACTTATATGCTCAATAATGAGCAATGTTCAAATTCAAGCGGGAGAAATAAACCAAGCTTTGTAACTGCTTAGGAGTAGTGGGTTGCTAAATAAGGTGTCAACTATTATAAATATATAAAGACAATTTGGGTCAATAAATATTAGGTAAAATCACACTTTTAGGGTGAAATGTACACTGTGGGCGAGCAGTACATTTCACCCCTCAAAGGACCACATTTACAACAATTTGGACAATTAAGGGGTGACAAGTACAACTTTCGAAATACGGGTCTGACATTTCAATATGACGACTATTTCAGGGACGAAAAGTGTGATTTTCCCTAAATATTAACAATCTTCACCTTTGGCCCAAGGTAGTGCACTGAGATAATTCACAGAACCTCGAACTCATCATTGCCAAATGATTACAAGTATAATCATGAAGACAATACAAGTAATAGAGAGACACAAAGTACTCTCGATGTAAGATCTCCAAGCACACCATGTCCATAAAGGATCGAAATCTACCATAGGTTCCTCGAGTTTAAAGCGGAAACTGTTGAAGATAATTTAATTGTGAATCAAGTTTGACATCTATCTTGTAATAGATTAGCTTTATTATTATTCCTTGTATTAAATAAGTGCATTTATTAGATAGAATATGGGCCAAGTGTTAGGCCCATACTAAAGGCTAAAAGCCTTATTCGCCTACCTGAATCTCGCCTATAAAAAGGGAACCGAGGATTCAGGATTAGATTAACTTTCGTACTTATTCATTATAGCCTTAAGCGCAAATCTTTCTGTGTACGAGTTCACGGTATATCAAAGAGGGTTTTACATCGATTCATCTGTGTTCATCCTTACATTTAATCTTCTTTGTTATACTGATATTCATTGTTGTTATAGAAATATGGACTATCAATTGGTATCAGAGCCGATCGAGAGCCGATCAGAAGAACGCCTGCAGAAGACCTCTGTTTTTCTTTACGTTGTTCATTTTGTCGATTTTTTACTCTGTAATCTTGTTTCTTGTTAAAAAGTTGTAAAAGTTACACCCTTAGAATCGTCGTTTCGAAGCGATCAAGGGGTATACTTCAGATTTCGTTTTCTGCAATTTCTGTACTTGAGATATTTCGAGTAGCTATGTCGACATCTAGGATTTAAACAGGTTCTGCCAAGTATTTCGAGCTGAAAACTTTACCTGAGGATCTCGACATCATACTCTACAAGAAACTACCTTCAGATTTTGCTTATCTGATTTTTACAGTTTGTAGAATTTCGACATTGAGGATTTCGATATCTAGAATCTCGAGATCAAGATTTCAATTTTAAGGTCTCGACATCTGGTCTCGACATTTGACTTCTCGAAATAAGATTTCGAGCTTCACTTCTCGACATCTCGAATCTCGAGATTCACTTCTCGACATTTGAAATCTCGAGATTTCAAAACTCGACATCCTAATCTCGATATCAAATCTCGAAACCGGGCCTCCTTTATCGAAATCCCAGATCTCGATATTCAGATCTCGACATCTGATTTTCGACATTCTGCCTCTGAAAATCTTTTGATCAATTATCTCGAACGGTCAGTTTTATACAGCAATGGCCTCAGAATTCAATGCCCAAGGGAACAGCAGTACTCCTTCTAGTCTCAGGAAAGGAGAATACCAAATGTGGAGGAATCGATTCCTTAATTTCCTTAAGCACAAAGAAAACTCCGCTGCGATGCTTGAATCGTTGCTTGAAGGACCAGCTGAACTGATGATTTCAGTTGGTGGAGATCCAGAAAACAATCCACATATTCTTCCAGAAAGGAGACGAAAAGTGGCATCTGAATATACCGAAGCTGACAGGCTCAGGCTTCGAGGTGATCTCATGGCCAAGACGTACCTCCTTCAAGCAATCCCTAATGAAGTATATGTTCTTATCGATAGCATGCAAACAGCAAAGGAAATGTGGGATGAGATAGAGAAACTGCTCCAAGGCACAAGCATTAGCCTTAAAACCAAGAAGACAACAATTCTTATTGCTTATGACTCCTTCAAAGCAGGCCCGGGAGAACCATTGAACGAGACTTACAACAGACTCGTCCAACTGGTCAATGAACTTAGAAAAATCAAAGTATTCAGGTCCAACTTGGAACTGAATATAAGATTTCTATCCAGCCTGCATCCTGCATGGGAAAAGACAGTGAAGGATGTTAGATCTCGCATTGACTTGGATGAAATTGACCTCTGCACTCTATATGAACATTTGAAGCAATTTGTCAATGAGGTTGCTTGTGCCGAGGATCATCACAACACAAATCCCCTGGCTCTAGTGATGGAAGCTCAGCCCCGAAGGACAACCACACCACTGAAGAAGAAA